CACCACCATCACCCCAAATTCAGCCCTTTCCAACCACGCACATGAACTTACTGACACGCACTGGGTCTCCACTTCTCCTAGCCTGCAGTCCAGGGTGAAGGACAGCAAGGAGGTATCCATGAGTGCCACCTCCCTTCCTCAGCATATAGGACCCAGGGCCTGGTGACACCCAACCAGGCAGATCCTGACACCCACTGTCTACCTCACAACCACCCTTCTCTTCTCCATGACACTTCCTTTCTCCCCCTTCAGCCCACTACCCAACCACTCCACAACTCTCCACCCCTTCCTCCCTACTCCCCCACCTGCCCATGTTATTTCATTCCCACCAATCCCTTCTACCCACCCCTTGTCTCCCAGTCCAAGCTACAGCTGGGCCTTGCAGAGTGCGTGTGGGGCCATGTTTCCCACTCCACAGCACATCCCTCTTGTGGAGACATGCTCTGCAGACCTAATGCAACTTCCCTGGCTGGTGCTGCCCCAAGCAAAGTGTCACCAAAAGGAGGAATCAACCCAAGGAAGGTGCACCATAAGAAGGGTGCACCCCAAGGACAGTGTAACCCTCAGGTGGGTGCCACTCCAAGGAGGGCCTCACTTTCAGGCACCTGCTTTCCACAGAGGGTACCACTCCAAGCAGGTGCACCCCAAAGAGAGTGTCACTCTTAGGCAGCTGCACCGTGCAAGCGTCACTCCAAGGAGGGTGCCACCAGCTGACAGGTGCACCCTCTGACAGATGCCATTCCAAGCTAGGTACACCATAAGGAGGGTGCACCTAAAGGAGGGTGCACCCCAAGGAGAGTGTCCCCATCAAGTGGGTGCACCCCAAGGAGGGTGTACCCTAAGGGTGGCGTCGCTCCAATGACAATGTCACTCCCAGGCAGGTGCGCGGCAGGGAGGACGGTGTCACCCAAGGAGGGTGTCACTCCCAGGCAGGTGCACCCCAAGCCGGGCGCACCCCAAGGAAGTCTCCCACACACACAAACACCACCCTCCCCACCTGGCATCCGCGGCGGGCGCGCCCCTCCCCGCCCCCGCGGCCGCGCAAGCCGCCTCCCGCGCACCCAGC